TTAGACAGAAGCGTCTACCTTTTTAAATTTCAATTTTTTAATGTAACTATAACAACAAAAACAATTCGATTTCATTTTTGCCTTGAAAAAGTCGGAAGACGAAACGCGTCGGCAAAATCTAAGATTTTTTTCCAATTGTCATTTTATACCATATATATATATATATATAAAGTGTGCCGTATCACAATACAGGTACGCAATAATACCTAGAACTTTTCTAATTCTCTATGATAAAGTTGTCAGAATTGTTGAAAGACGAATAACCGCTGACGTTGATATGTTATTCAAGGGCTTTCTGTCGCCTTGGATAAACTAAACTATTTATCACTTCATATAGATCTCGGCAAGGTCCAATGAAAAGTTCAGAAATGTATCTTAATTTGATTAGACAGAAAATTAATTTTATTTTGCCAGATGTAGCTCCCCGCTTGAAAGTGCATCTCGGATCCCTACCATTTCATATTAGTAGAATCCCCCTCCTCTCTTCACTTTTGAGAAGATGTTCAGAAAATCGATCCTCCAAATTCTTTAATGCCAAAGTTGACAGTCACATCCAACAATTTGAAAGAATTTTGGCGTACAAAATTAGTGAAGATAAAAACTCATATACGCACTTAATTCAGAGTTCGCATTCAAGCTCGACTTCATGTTCAAATTTTCAAAGTTCACGTCAAAAGATGTTGCAATCCATAATGGTAACTAGCAGTAGAGCCCGGAGTTGCCCGGGGATGTAACAGTAAGAGATAGATCAAGTATCGACCATCATAAAGACTGAAGAATAAAATTGACTAAGATTATTGTTTAAGGTTGACAGACACGCATGTCTTAAATAGTTTTTGTTTTTGTTTTGTTTTTTACGAATTGGTCAAACCCAAACTCAAACGAAAACATTGTTTTCAATCGTTATGAGTCTACCGATTGAATAGAATTTTATTATAAACAATTGTCTTGTAAATGGAATTTTAAAAGCATTCTGAATGTAAAAATAAAGAAAAAAGTGTGCAAGACAATAAGAAACACTACCTGCCAAAAAAAATTTGAATTTTTGTTGAAATCGGTTGAAAAATGTAGGAAATCCGATCCCATATATAAACGAACACAGACACACACACAAACAACCTGGGTTTTATAATAAGTATAACTCGATATGAATTGTCCCCCTCTCATTCTCCCCGACAGCGATGCCTCTTAATCGTATTTTCAAATTGATTTCGTGCAAAAACAATTGTTTTTCCAATTTTTGGTGCTGTCAGAATCACCGCAAGGTAATTTTACGTAGTCCTGTGAAGTTTTGTTGAAATCGGTTGAAAAATGTAGGAAATCCGATCCAATATATAAACGAACAGACACACACACACACAACCTGGGTTTTATAATAAGTATGATTTCATATTCTCAGTATCTTCAGACGGAGAACGAAAATAATCTTGAAGTTTTTGCAAGTGATTTGTGAAGATCTTGATACCATCGTCTGAAATATTTTATTTCAAGACAAGTGTATTAAGTTCGAGTAATACGTAAAATCGATTCTCTCCAATTAATTTTTGAACAATCAAATCTCCACCAGGAAACCCACAATGACTGTCCGTGCTTTTGATTCCGTTGATCGTCGAGCTCAGTGCCTTTCTTTCATCTGCAACATAACTGTACACTAACTAAAATTTAGCTCAATGTTATTCACACACCGACCCCAATTTGACCCCTTCACTATCATTGATCCTCTGGAACTCGTCACCGACCCCTAGCTTGGATCCCGTTTAACGACCCTGGTTTAGATAAATATAAAATGTTTCATTTTGACGTTCAAAATTGTTTATTGTATATATTTAACCGCATGCTTCTTCTAGTAGAACGTGACAAATTCGTGTTGAAACTGGGTTAGTAACCCACGCATATGTGAACTGGGGATAAATATTCCTCAAGTCCCATAGACACTTCCATTTTTGAAAACCTCAGGTGCCATGTAATCATCTTGGCTGTCTCCGAAAGAAGATGTAGAGCTAGTCCCTTTAGGAATACAACTAACATTGATTTAACGCCCCACCCCCGCATAGCTAAAACCTATACTGCATAATTACACTAAAGGAAGATTGTAAGTGTGTCACGGTGTATGTGTTTATATGACAATAGGATATATTTGGGTTTCTCTAGTTTAACCTAAGGGAGATACCAAACTTTTTGATAGACGAATAGCCGTACTGTTGGTAACGTGTGACCAGTCGTTTTGGACAGATTCTTATTCTTCTATGTGCCGTGTTCCTTCAGGAGGCGACCATGGCTCTCCAGTTTCCTATCTTAGCAAAGTTGGTCTTTACATATCTTTCCTAATTCCTATACTATAAACAATTTACAGAAATTCGTTATCGCTGTCTTTTCTAATCCCTGTTCTGCCAGCCATTTACAGAAGCTCGTTATCGCTATCTCTCCTTTCCTATTCTACCAACCATTTACAGAATCTAGTTAGCTAGGTTATACACTGCTTTATTTTGTCCCTCTTTTTTCAATATGTCTTGTGAGCGTCATATTTTCTAAGCTGTCTTTCCTCATTGTGCTCTCTTGAAATTCCAACACTTTCAAATTAAGTGTAAATTTCTTTTTTGTTCACATTATCTCTAAAACTTGGTCATTGCTCGCAGGTTATTTCCATGGCATTCTGATCACTCATTTCTAGAATCATGTTTCTGTTGCTTCAAGTCTTATCTGTAAGAAGATTATGCAGCATTCACTGTCATATATGAGGATCGCTATTACGTAATATTTAAGTACTCTTTTCTTTGTTTATAACGAAATTTTTCTGTTTCTTAATCTTTCGCCATTCCAATGTGCCTTCAGATTTCGGTGTCGCACTTTCCGTACTCTGTTAAAAAAAACTTCTTGGATATTTAAAATTTTGTATTTGATTTTGGAATCTCCAATTTTAATTTGCATATTAGGAATGTACTATTATCGTCGGGTAAACCAATGAAAACACGAAACTGAATCTCTTGTACGTAACATAACTGCTTATTTAATTCCGGACTTCCTCAGTTACAGTGTTGCCCGGTCCACCTTTTCTCAATATGTTCTCTACATTCTCACATAGATGTGAAAGAGAGACTACCTTTGCTACCCGACGGTTTTTCCCACGTGTGTAAATATCGATATTGAGTCACCCCCCCACGAGGGTGTCATGTGGCACAAGGCCTTTTTAACGTGGGCATTCCCGAGCCATTAGGCTCGGCCAAAAAAAATAAATATCAGGCACAGATGGATTGATCACGTGGTGCTGCATTGCTTGGTATTAATCATATATCTGGCTTCTCTGAAGGACAATGATTGTAAACGTCTAGCATGATTTTAATATGATATCCTGATTTATCTGTTTATATTTTCATACACATTTAAGCAAGTTGTGCTCCTCTCACTTCCACCGTTGCCTCCATCAATGTGCAAAGACTTCTAGATAAAAAATGTAATGCGTACGTTGTATTCAACGTTGCAAATTGACGAAAGGAATATGTTAAATTAAAGACATCTTAAGATGCGTTGGGATTAAGTAAGAAAAAATTAGAACTGATATTAAAAAATTGTTAACACTTGACAACAAGGGAGTGTTTTTAGCTCCTATAAAAGGAGCAATGATTGTATAATAAATTTTAGTTTGTTAGGAAAATCAAATATACTACTAGATTGGCAGTTAGGTCTCAATGTTTTATTGTTGAATTGGCTAGATGAACCGTATGTTCTATTCCAATAGTTTCTTTTCTCGCCTGTAGAAATCCCTCCCGATTTCTTGCCAATCGCCATCTTCTGTCTTTCTGTACCCTGCTCTTTTATTGTTCTTTCTCTTCACTAATGTCTTCTCATTCTCTGACTCCATATAACCTCCCTCCGGCTACGTGGCATTGAAGGTGAAATGATTAAAAATAAGTAAATAAAAGATCTTTCTTGATGAAGGTTAATATTGCTTATTGTATTAAAGACATTTTTATGTTTAACGTTCTTTTTTTTTATATAGATTTTTAAGTATTTAAGTAAATGCTCTGTTTATAATAAACACTATTAAATAACATTTACCGGCCTGAATGTCCGAGAAATTTTCATAGAAAATATTCGTCCTTTGAAATTCAGGCCGGTAAATGTTATTTAATACTGTTTATTATAAACAGAGCATTTACTTAAATACTTGTATCTATAAAAAAAAAAAAAAAGAACGTTAAACATAAAAATGTCTTTAATAAAATAAATTATCGGACTTTGTCCATTTCTGAATATATTGCTTATTGTATTTGCAGTGAAGTTTTGTAAGTGTGCCACACTAGTATGGATGTGCGTCTAGGAAAATAGCTTATATTTAATTCTATCTGAGACGGTTCTCAAATTTAATGGCAGACGAACAGCTGCATTGTTGGTGTGTAATTGAGGGACATATTGTTCCTTCGGATAAACTATTTGTCTCTTCATAGAAATCTTGGCAAGCTCCAGAAATGTATGTTAACCAATGTATTTAATTTAATTATACTATTGCCAAATTTATCTTTCTGTTTGAAAATCTTGGATTCAAATCCTTTGATGAAAGTTGCCAGTTTTTCCTTAACTTTCGACAAGTAAAGATGTTCAGAAAATAGAATCTTCTAATTTGTTGATTCCGACACCAACGTTCACTGTCATATCCAAAGACGCGAAGGAATTTTGGAGTAAAAATTTAGTAGAGATAAAAAGCGAAATTATACTGATGCCATTTCTGACCGTAGGTCACTCGAGGTAAGAAGGTGCAGGAGGTGAGAGTGTTAAGCTATCGCTGGTGTTGAGATTCCTTTGATGTAGTCTGTCCGCTTTGGGAGTCTGTTTTTCCACTCTGTTTTGATTGAAAAGAGGTCTCTTTATACTCGTTTTTGGGATCAAAAGGGCATGACCCGGAAAGAAATGAGTATACACCAGAAATAATAATTGATAGATAGATAGTTAGAGAGATAGATAGATAGTTAGAGAGATAGATAGATAGATAGAGATATAGATAGTTAGAGAGATAGATAGTTAGAGAGATAGATAGTTAGATAGAGAGATAGATAGATAGATAGATAGATAGTTAGAGAGATAGATAGATAGAGAGATAGATATATAGATACATACATACATACATTTGTGTTGAATTTACCTGTATAAAAAATGTGTGTGTGCGGTAGGTTATTTTCGTTTTTTATACTTCCCCTTTCCTTCTATTAGAACTACTATTAAGCTGGTAACACTTAAAAATGGATTGTTTTTTTTTTCTACAAAAAATGTTTAATTATTGTATACTAAAGTTCAGTTTGTTTAGATGAAGATAACATCTTTCTTCATGAAGTTAAATATTGCTTATTGTATGCGAAAGAAATTTTGTAATTCTGCTGCAGTTGGATGAATGTGTAGATAAGTGAATACTGTATACATGACCTTGCCTAGTCTTATCTGAAAGAGCTCTTAGAATTGTTGTTGAAAGATGAATGGCTGCATTTCTGTTCTCACAGGATATACATCTGAGTCTATGCATTTCTTTATGTCTATTTATTAAAAAAAAAAAAAAAAAAACTTGGGTAGGTTCCAGCAAAGGATTCAAGAATTGGATCCCTGCCACTATGTTTTTATTGGTCGCAAAATATTTATTATTTTGCCGTCAGTTTTTTGGCTACTTGAAAATGCTTTTAAAAAATTTCATACCGTATCGCAAGTGAATCTCCCAATAGGAAACTGCGTTCCTGCGCCACCTTCCAAGTCCAATGTATAGAGGATGACGGGAGCGCTATGTTGCTGATATAGGCATTCATAGTTTGGACAAGAATGATCTTAACGAAAAAAAAAAGTGCAACATCCTCTAGCAAGTGTTCCAATAAGTGGATAAACTTTTCGCAAACAGAAACTGTGATCTGGAATTTAAATGTAAGTAGAGATGTTTCCACCCTGACTCCATCATAACAATTCAAGATGTGAAATTAGTAAATATTAAATACTTCAAATACCTTAGTGTATGGATAAATTATAACACATTTAGTATAGGAGATATAGAAGTTGAAGAAAGCATATATTTTGTTAGGGTTAGTTTCGCCAACACTGCAAGCAACTACAAAAATAAAGAATTAACCTAAAAAAACTCAAGCCATTTTGGATTACTTCAACTAATGGACTAAATAAACGGTTCGGTTCGAAATTCCAACGTATGTCACCTGAAGAATGCTGGAGCTTAAAATGGCTGAAACGTTGTGAATATGATAAAGATGAGGACAACAGTCCGAACAATGTAAATTAGTGTAAATGGAATATACACTTATTCAAAACGGTAACATTTCAGCGCGTCTTTCTAGACAATTCGTATGTGGATTGTAAATTTATAATGTTGGGAAATCAGATCCATTGAATGGATCTGATTTCCCAAAGATTGCATTTCTTTTCAAATTCAGAGAAATTTCATCCTGTGTTTCTGTTTTTGAAAAATACAGTAAGTTTCGCAACTGAATTTAATGTAATAGCAGGGAAACAATTTTGGTATTCTCCTGGGTGGCCCATTCTACTATCTTCGAAAGAGTTCCATATTTATCGTGATTTTTGGCAAAAAATATGGCCACACACAATCCGTTCTCCATAATTTAATTTTACGCATTGGTAATTTCTCAATATTTCTTCTGTTTCCCCATCTAAAGTTAAAAAATTAAAATAAAGTTAAGCAAGAAAAACACATTGATTTGGAAAAATTTTATAATAATTAAAATCTTAATACTTAATTCTGCAATCTTAACACTAATTAATTACTAAACAATTTCTAAAACATTTAACAATTTTTTTTAAATAATTAACGTTCAGTCAATTTTGTCACATGAAGCATACATTTTTAATTCTGTTTTTTCGTCAATACAAGAAATCGGTGTTGAAAAGTAAACGTTTTCAACAATTTTTTCTATTGTTGTCAAGGAAAAGTATTCAGAATTAAAGTGAGAAAACTACTTCCAAATGTAAACAGAATAAAGGATTAAAATAAGAACTTCAAATAAAAATTGTATAAGAAAGATTTTATTTAAAAAACTAAAAGTTATTTTTTAGTAGAATCTGGGTTTCAGTTTTAAGTTTTCTTATTTAATAACTTACTAACTTAATTGAAGTATGACCCTAAGTAAAATAAATACACAAAATAAAAATATTTAGTGAAATAGTAATTTTAAAAAAGTAAAACTTACTTTTAAATTTTGAAAGGATGATTTGCAAAGACGTTGTGGCGGGCGGTCCAGTGGCCCCGTTTCACAGAAAGGGGTGAACGAGGTCACAAGAGGCCCGCTGACATTTTTGACGCGATTAACCTGACGGTGAAAACAATATGGACGACAGAACGAGGATATATATGATATATAGAGGTTTATTCTAAAAGGAAAAGGAAATGAAGATGGTCGGAAACGGTGGAGGTGCTGGAAGGAGTGCTGGAAGCTGCAGGAGTGAGCCGGATGCTGCAGGAGTGAGCTGGAAACAGCAGGAGTGAGCCGGAAGCTGCAGGCATTAATGGTCGAGGTTGGCGTTGGTTGTTGCTAGGATCATCGTTGTTGGGGGTTGAAGCTGATGTGAGTTGTTGCCAGGATGATCGCTTGGTGGTTGTTGATGTTGAATGATGCCAGGATGATCTTTGTTGGTTGTTGAAGCTGAGTCGCTGCCGGGGTGCCAACTTGTTGCTGCAGTTCGTGTTGCCAACTTGTTGTTAGTCATTGCCGGGATGCCAACTTGACGTGTTGGGAAGGAGAGAGAGAGAAAGAAAGAAAGTTCCCAACTATCGTCAAGTTGGCAGACAAAAAAAAAGTGGGAGCGTAACTTAATACACAGCCCGTTGATCGGCGTACTTGGCCAATGACGACCTCCCCTTGAATCTAGGAAGAAATCACTGTCTTGTGTCGAGGGGGACCAGCAAGAGAAATTGGCTAAGCTAACCGAAAAGTCTCTATAATAAAATGCTACAAGGTTAGCTAAAGATAACTATGGTCTAAAAATGACTAGAAGTATATTACAACTAGGTTTGTAATATAGCCTAACTAAAAAGGGGATTTGCTAGTCCCTCCGACGTGTTAACAGTGTGTAAGGAGCATGAATGAGAGGTCAAGGTCGAAATGACCTGTTCCTCAGCCGGTTCAAGGATAAGAGGAGGTAACTCCGACAACGTTAATGATGAACCAGAACAGAATAAGTGAAAGTGAAAAAATTGCAGTGCGTCAAACGACACTTAAATCACGTGATCGTTTTAAGGATTTTGTAATGTCTAGGTTTCCATAGGTAGAAATTGGGAATGCTTAAACGATATTTTTTTTAACTATTTTTAAAAAACAGTGTTACAAACAACTGTTATGAGATTTTCAATTCATAAATGTACTTTTCACTTAATATCAACAAACCACTGGCTTGAAGCAATGCAAAATTTTAAACCATTTTTTACATTATAAGTTATTTAATTAGAATTTTTTAAAAATGAAAACAATTCTTGTAAAAATTAATTATTCATCGAAAAAATTAATCTTAAGACAATATTGTCCTTAATAAATCTTATTTATCAAAACAATTAAAAGCTTTTCTAGTTAACTAATGTCATAGTTTTATTGAAATTTATTATTTTACAATTCAGAACAGATATTTGGTGAATTGGTTAAATATTTTACAAAAAAATTGATGATTTACTATTTCCAAGAGTCTTGCTTATAACTAATAAAAATATCGCCGCCCTAAAAATTTAATTTCTCAAAATTTTATGAAATTAAATAAGTGGGTGGTAACATATGTAAAACAAAAATATTTTCACCAAGATTTTCTAAAAAAAAAATGAAGAAATTTAAAAAAAATTTCATTCATTTCTGAATATGCCCTGAAATTTTCATTAAAATCCCACAATTATTTGTTTTTTTCGAAAGAATTTCCAAATCAATGTATTTTACACCGGAAAAAGCGCAAAAAACTAATCTTTATCTTTGGTCCACTGTAGACGTAAAAAAAAAATTAAAAAAAAAAGACTTTTAACCAAAATTTAGAACGTGCCAAATAGGAGTAAAAAATTAAAAAAAAAATAATAATAAATACTTTGGTCTTTCCTCTGAATAATAACATAAACATTTTAATGACTATTTTATTGAGTTTGGGGCCTTTTTTCATTATGCTATGCTGGTTTTTACGCAACCAAGTGAAAATACCTACTATAGTTGTTTTATGTACGCAAACAAGCTTTGAAGAAGGAAAAAATATTTCTTTTTAAATATTTTAAGATTTATTTTTTTCTATAAATAATCTATGAGATTTATTTACTATATAGAGTTATACATTTTCAATTAAAGAACAATATTTGACATAATGAAAATACGTTTACGGTTAATCTTCATTTAAGATAATTATGAACCTCAAATTTTTTTGCATGTGCTTCCGAAAAACGCCAATACAAACATTTTACTTAAAAAAAAAAGGTTTGAAAATTGAAAACAATATGCTGTTAGCAGAGTTTCAAACTTGACATTTGTAAATAATAGCCAAGTGATTTAGGCAAATTTGTAAAAGTCAGGAATCGAATTGACACTATATCGACATTATAAACAAGACTCTCCCTTTTAAAATGATAATAAAAATCCATTTTTTTTATTCTGACAAGTGTTGTGGCCTAAGGAAAGCTCAAAGAATGCTAAACTACAAAAATTATTTCTTTAAAAAAAATCCCTTTTTTATAAGTGGACCAATTTATTTAAACAGTGTCAATTTATGTACAAATGTTTAAGTAAATGTCTTTTCACTTAAAAAAATTCTACAAACTTTTATTCTGACCCAGTATTTCAAAACGTCTAGTGATGGGACTGTGCACAAATGGAAATAAATTCAATTCTTTTCTAAGAGCAGAATCATGCAAGATATATAATGTATATCACCGACGATTTTGTTTTACATGCCGATAACCGTTTTGCCTTATTCCATATGAAATCCAACCATAGAACCAATTTGTTCACAGCGTTGTGACAAATAATCCTTTTTGGTCATCAGAGCTGAAAACACTAAAGCTTTTTAGGGTTTTTTTTATCGATTTATTCATTTATTACAAATATCTATAAAACTGTGGTTTCTAATCTTTGGTATTAATCGATCTCCTGACCGTACATTCTCATAACAGACTTTTCCTGATCGATCTTATAATATTAGACACGTGATTGATATGGACACAATGTATCGATTTCTTGTCAGGTAAACTAATGTATAGCAAGTATAGCATGAAAACAATGAAACTGTACAAGGCAAGGGTTGTTGTTTCGGCTGTGGATACGCTGATGACAAAGTTTGCACGCGACGATTAATGAGGTTAGCAATCAATGGAAAGAAGAAAAAGTAATACTTGGAAAAGACGCTAAGAAAATGTACTATAGAAGGATACTAGAGTTTGCATGCGAGAAAAAAAACAATACATATTTCAAGAATATTATACAGACAATAGGCCAAAGCTTTAGAACCGACCTCAAGATTTCGAAGAATAGCCTAAAAATTGAAAGTTGCATTGCTTTTTTCAAAACTAATTTTCCAGTTCACTTTGAACCCGATAAACTTTCTCTTCCTGGAAGGTTCTATCTTATATGCAATAACAACGAAATCAACCCATAACCTCATAAAGTTTCCTAAAAAAAGCTAACAGTTTTAGGGAACTTTATGCGGTTATGGGTTAATTTCGTTCTTATTGCATATATGATAAAACCGGGGTGGTTCGAAAGTCTTGTCCTCCCTGCCAAAAAGTAATGAAAACAATAGAAGAACAAGTCATACAGTAATACAAAGCACGTGTACTGGATTCAGTTTATTCACTTTCATTGACGCTGCCACACATCGAGAAGGTCTCTAGGAGCACCATTTTCGTGGCATAAAATGATGCGGCACCATGTCCTGTGTGGTATTTTACGAAGCTGTGTATTGTTGCTTCTTGCTTAGGCTCTCCGAACGGCGTCTTTCATCTGATGGGTATTCTGATATCGTTCATGTTAAACTATCTCTTTGATAATTTCCCACAGAGCGTCGAAATAGAAAATTATATAGCAGTGACAAGTCTTTCGGACCACCCTGTACTTTGCTGATAATTAGTAATCTTAGGTGTAGCCGATTTCAAATTTTATGCAACTCCTTCTCTATTTAAGCCATAAACAAATGGGTTAAATAGTTTTAGCATGCTAGCTTAGTATGAATTAAGCCAAAGAAAGAATGAAACTTACTAATTATTAAATCCAAGTGTCTCCAAATATTTGGCCTAGAATGTAGATATTTCAAACCATACAATACTTATCAATGTGTATTTATTTATATACTTCCTGTCCCATGTGTAGTGGAATGGAAAGTAAATTAACTTAAGTTAGACAAAATTTAATTCCCGAGCAAAATGAACCGTTTAGTTAACCAGTTCCTTTACTCCTAAGTTTCTTAGATTACAGTCTTATTTCTTCAAGCCTTCATATGAGTCTTTCAGGTACCTTTGTCTATTAATCGAACGTCTTGCTTCAAATGTCTTGAAATAGGCTTCGTCGTCACCGACTTTGTAGTTCTGTCGTTAATGTTTTTCTTACGAGAGATATTTCCATTTCACTGTTATATTAAACACATAAAAGTTTTAACATGAAAAGACAGAGTAAAAAGCGATTTATACAATACCAGAAGTAAATAATGGATCATAGATAACATTGAATTTATTTATAAATAAACATTACTTTCAAACAAAATATATCACTTTTTTTTAACGTTGCCGCAGAAAATGCATCATGTATTTAATTTTGAATATGTGAATTACGCTATCCTAAATTCAACACACTTTTACCCTCTAAATATATAATTAACTATTAAGAGATAAATTCATTAACATTATAGGTGTAATTAAACGTTCTCGTTGTTTAATTACCTTTTGTTTTGAATTGGTATCCGACATTTAACAGAAACTTGCTCTATAAATGCAAAATTAAATTTAAATAATTCCTTATGTTTTACATTGTTTTGTGCATTTAAAAAAATTTCTCCAGTGAAAATCATGAAATAGGAAATTGCCTCGAAGAAACAAGATTAAAACGAGAGCTAAAACGAAGGCAGTGATTATGCCTATATCAGAATCAGATACAGGCACGGCGGGAGGCTGACAGGCAAAGATATTCACAGGCATCAAAGGAATGCCGTGAAGCAATAAGAGCACAAGCCAGGAAACGCGAGGCTCAGGGGCGAACTAATGAAGCAAAGGAATTGGGTAATAGGAGAGCAGACCCGACAGAGAGAGAGAGAGAGAGAGAGAGAGAGAGAGAGAGAGAGAGAGAAGACAAAATGAAACGAAGGGAAAAGCTAATGCAAGAAGAGCTGTTATGAAATAACATGTAGAAGAAAGGATTCAAAATTGAACAGAACAAATCTAACGAAAAAAAAAAAGAAGAAAATATGAGAATGCAAATAGAAAAAAATGAAAGAAAACTGAGGAGCAAAACAACGGAATGAGAATAGCGGCGCCATGAAAAATGTCAGAAATGCACAAAGCATTTTATAGAGTAAATAATATTTCATTCACTGAAACTAATTATCATCAACATAACTGCGGCTGATATAAAAGCAGCCGCCATATATATATATATATATATATATATATATATATATATATATATATATATATATATATATATATATATATATGTGTGTGTATATACATATATATATATATATAATTATTTATTTAAAAATATGATTCCTCCGCTACATAAGAGTTCTCATAAATAATTATATTTAGGTTCTACTTTTGTATCGAGCACTGTTTTTAAAATAAAAAACAAAATACTAATGAACTTCAGATTCACACACACATATATATATATATATATATATATATATATATATATATATATATATATATATATATACACTACTTACACACACACACAGTGTCGAAAAAAACAAACTGCCATTTTATAGTCTAATAAATTAGTCAATTCTCGCTCAAATGATCTCAAATTTTAACAAATTGTGCAAAAACTAAGTTTACCGTGCGGAATTATCTCGATGAGAATCTACAAGGAAGATTGATCGGGCATGCCAGTGGTAATGACAGTGTGCTGTTGAAATAGCCACCCCTTTCACGTAGAATTTTTTCTATGGGGCTATGTAAAAGAGCAGGTATGTATCCCCCTCTTCCTATAAGCCTAGAATCACTGAGGCACTGGAGAATGCTACGCAATACATTCTACAGCGTGTTTGGCAGGAGCTGGACTATCGTGGTGTGCATTTTTGAAATCAGTTAAAAAAGACTACATCCTTTTGAATATATAGTTCGAATTTTGATAAATACATCTTTTATTGTGCAACACGAAACCTATTTAATTTTATTTGCCTGGGACATGTTACTTAGATATTCACATTTTAAATGATGTCTATGTTTTGGGGACAACCTGTATATATAATATCGCACAGCGAGTATTGGTAGTAATAAAACACTGCTCGATGTAAAATAACTGAGCTAAAATTTATACTACTAATAATAAATATACATTTTGCTCCTCTCTGCTTGTATATTTATTATTTAAACAAGCCTGTGGCGTTTTTGATGTAAGGCATTCTAAAGCTGTAAAAATAGTTTATTACTGCTCTCATCATCCATAACCTTTACAGACAAAACATTTCCGTCAACAGAAACAGGCTTCCACACAATGTTCTCTCGCCATACATTTAATGCTTTCTCGGTTTAACATGCACTTTTTGAAATCAGTTCAAAAAACTACACCCTTTTGAATATATTCTTCGAATTTTGATAAATACATCTTTTATTGTTCAACACGAAGCCTGAGATACTATTTTCGCCATTGCAAGCGGGACGCTAACACTTCTAGGAATATCCTTTTTTTTTTTTTTTTTTTTTTTTAATTTTGTGCTACGTTTTTCATTTTCATCATTTCACCCCACACAAGGCGGGAATGCCACTAGTATGCATTGGATTACAAGGAGTGAAAGTGAAAGAAAAAAGACTAAGAATAGGGAGGATTGAGAAAAGGAAAAAGATGAACGGGATCCAAGAAAACAGCAGCTTACGTTTCATTTAAATTTTTGAACAGGAAGTTCCACAAGTGGGGAGTGCGAGAAAAGGAACCGTTAGTGTAGAACTGACGGTTGTATTTAGTAGTAAATCGGTGGAACGTAGATGCCAAACTAATAGAAACGCTTAAATTCATGAAGTCCAGGGGAAAAAGATCGTCAGAGCAGCCATGAAAATATTTGTAGAAAAGACAAACTGAAGCCACACCACGTGGGTGAGAATGTGACTGAAGTCGAGATGCCTGGTCAGAATAAATTACATTATAGATCCTTCTTTTGATTTTATCAGGAATCTCGAGATGTATAGAAAAAAGTAGCAGATCAGATATTGCTACAGTATTCAATGGTAGATTTGTAAATGTGCCAGATGGATTCTAACGAGAAAAAAACAACCTTTTTTACAATAAATGCAGCTACTGATTCGATGTGTACAGAAAAGTTTCTCAATGGCGGTTAAATTAATGCAGTTTTGTTTTGGAGGCGTTGATATTCACAAGTCATTTTCTGACCAGTTAACCACTGATTGGAGGTCCTTTTCAAGATTCTTGATTTACTTTGTTAGGTCTGACGGATTTGCTATTAAAACAGGAGTAAATGGTAAAGTCATCTGCATAAATACCTAATTGGGTACTAATGTCATCAATGAGATCATTTATGAAGATCAAAAACAGCGTAGGACACAGGAAAGAATCGTGTGAAAGGATCTGGAAGTGAGCCCATACAACACAACCTCTAGTTAACGATTTGATAGAAACGATTGTATTAAGCCAAATATTCTTCTCGTGTCACCGTAGCCATGGAGCTTGTGTAGAAGTCCAGCATGCCAAACCCTGTTAAAGGCCTTCGAGATATCTACAGCCACAGACCGTGCTTCGTCGTTCTTACGTAGAGCTTGATATAGAAATTCAGTGATGACCATTAACGCATCAGCGGTAGACCTGGCGAAAGGGAAGCCATATTGTTCGTCAGAGAGAAAGTCTTGAAAAGTAAGATGCTTAGCCACTTCAGTTCGTTTATTGAAATTGTTGATGCAGTACTTGCCACTTTTGTTGGAAATCTAGCAAAACCTTGCTTGCTTAGACTTTCCATCGCTGTTTTTAGTGCTTTTGCCTAACACTTTCGGAGTCATTTTTCACGCAACAATGCAAAACAAAAACACAACATTTAACGAATGATACAAACGCAACACATGTAGAGAGAAGTTAGGAATTTTTAATGCAGAAGAGGAAACTAAAGAATTACGGAAGCGGAAGGGCTAGAGTATACCCCTTTAAATTAGATAATAGGGAGTTAAGAGTTTGGGAAATTGTATATTTAAATAACAATAATTAAAACATAAGATACGGGTCCGCCATATATATATATATATATATATATATATATCGCCTTCAAATCACACTTTTGTAGAAGAGCAGACATGGGAAGATCCTGATAGACGTTGCGTTTCATGAGGATGAGAACATCGTGTAGGCGAAGAAAACGAAAAAAATCCAAAGGTACCACGATATGGCATAACAAATCAGACATATTTCACTTCAAACAAGGCGATAATGCGACTGTGTCTTAGAGGATGATTGGGTGAAAGAGAAATAAATTTCAGGGAACAGGACAAATTAGGAACAAGATTCAGGAAGGCAAGATTGTGTGAGTTAGGTTGCATCGAAATTCTGGAGATTGTAGTTGACAGGGAAGCAATAAATCGAAAAGGCAGTTCCACAGGCGAGAAGTGCGAGAAAAACTATTAGAATAAAACTGACATAGGCATCTGGTGGATTTATACATGTACCAGAAGGATTATAACGGGAAGAATTGTCTTGAACGGCACAATGAACCGACTTTGCTAGCAGTAAACGTAGCAATTGGTTTAATATAACCAGTCCACTTCATGCTAGTGGAACACACACACACACACAAATATATATATATATATATATATATATATATATTAGTTGTAACCTTATAAATATAAGAAATTACACTCGTCCGGAAATATATATATATATATATATGTGTGTGTGTGTGTGTGTGTGTGTGTGTGTGTGTGTGTGTGTGTGTGTGTGTGACGTTTTGGAAATGTTGCGGTTGTTAGTGCAGACGTCATTTTTAAAAAAATGTCACCTCGTATAAATCACAAGAAATCATTTCAACATAGACAATGTAGAAAAACGCTACTAGAATACAGGCTGCACAACAGAAAAAAATAATTAAGTTACATGAATCAAAAGTCAGTGCATTAAGAATCAAAACACCTTTTCTATAAATACTTTCATGGTAATTGTTCAGATGAGCTCTTCACTATGATGACTAGATTTTTTAAAAATATAAGCGCTGTACTAAACTAGTGACCAGGTTTCATCAATTTTCAGTTGATTTGTCTGGCTGTAACCGTTGTCCATTTAACTGTAAAATTTATCAACTTCCTCCGTGCTGTGCTATCGGCACGTATACTACAATAATTGATGTCTTAAACGGCTTCCCTGTCAATTTGACTAAAAAGAATTGACAGTATCTCAGAACACATTTCTTCATGTCATTATCTACTATTAATCCTACACCTCTTTCACTTTTCTCTCTACATGCACGTATGTGCGGGTCGCTGACGAAATCCCCATAACTTGCTCACCTAATTTCACATACACCTAGAATGATTTGATCTAATCTATTCATTTATTGCTTGATATTTTCAAGCTGACCCCATTGGTATAAGTTTCTTACGTCCCATGTCCCTATTATTTTTTTTCTTTTTGTGGACAGTTGTTTGATGACGGTCTGTCGCTCAGTTACCAGACGAGAAGTTATCCCCAGTGGACTTTGCCCTTAATATTTAGGTTTCTTGATGCCATGATTATTCTTGGGACAGATAGTATATTGTTTTTGACGCTGCTTTCTACACAGTTATTGAAACACCAACTCTAGCTAACTAAACCTAAACTGGCTGTTGTCTGTTCTTATTTTTCGTCCTACAGGGTTGCTAACGATCTTCCTCGCACCAAACGAATTGTAGCGGGGGAGACGGTTTAGTCGCCGACTATCCGGCAAAGTTTGGTCTTTAGAAAGAAAAATATTTCGTACCTTCACTCGAGTGAATGGTGATCTATGAAAGGAATAAAATAAACAACACTCTATTTCGTTCTTTTTAATAGAAAAGCGAAGCCAGGAAAGACAGAACCTAAGGGACTTTAGTAAGAAAGCAAACGTACAAAGCGTCTCAGCTGGACATCAACGTGAATGACCGATTCCGGTTCGTGTTACCTTATTTAATATTCATATTGATCATCCTTGCCTTCGGGACTCAGAACACTCAGATTGCATCTCCCGGGGGCATGCTTGCGAAAGGGCTCCGATTGAAAGTGCCACCATACGCATCGCATCTCTGAACAATGTACAGTTCATTT